AGGCATTGATATGTTTGTTTGATTTATTTTGTTTTGTATAACGCACGCAAGTTTCATTCTTTCATTCTTATTTCATTCTTATTTCATAATTTTTATTCTTACTGTCTGACTTTTCAAGCGTGTTTTATCTTGTTTTGATCATATTGGCTGCACGCATTGAAAAGAGAGCTTGTAGGAGGACGAACTTTGTTAAGTTGAGAATATGACGCTTGCAGGCGACGCCAATGCGCGTGATTCAGGATTGCTCGGCGTACTAAATTGTAGTTTCGGGGCTAAATTGAGCAATCCTCAGAAGCTTCGATCGTCCAGACTCTGCCTAAATCACAATTGAGAATCGCTTGAAAACAAAAAAAAATTCTGTTTGGTTTAGCGGTGTCATGCACTGACACTTAGCTAAAGGTGTGTCCGCATTATGTATTCCTCCCGAGATTCGTTGCTCGTGATGCTATTTGTTAGCCCAGCGTAATCTCGAGGAAACATTTGGTTTCTGCTGGTCTGGCGACTTGATCAGCATTTGGAGGGTGCTTGCTTTGGCCAGAGTGGTTCGGCTTTGTGTTCGACTCCGTCGTTCCAGTGAACCTCTGCAGGCCTATGGAAGTCTCAACGGGCGGAGAGAGCGGAACGGCTACCGACGGTCAACCAGCATCCCTCCTTCCGAGCCGCGCTGACGGCTCAAAACTCCGGATGCATTGTCTGGCGGCGGGGGTGCTGTTGTGCCACAGACATGTTCCTCGTTCGGGAGCACGTCTCACAAGATCGAGCCCTGTTTCGACGAACTGTCTCCCCCCTCCCAGCGCCGCCTTCCGTGCAGAAGAACCGTGCAGTTCCGGGGATAACGTCGCTTCCTCCGCTGAACCACTTTGCAGTTCCGGGTATGGCTACGTCTCCCCCTCCGAGCCCGAGAACTGGTCTGAGAGAATGGACCAAAGACGCTATTTAAGGCTGAGCCGGCCCCATGTTAGGAGATTTCGCCCCAGCCGACGTTGTCGTGCTGGCCGGCTCTGTACACACGACAACCTGCTACAGTAAACGCTCCTTTTGTTGCTGTTTTCCAAACGGATTGCCTCCCTGTTTCAACTTGGGGCTAAGGCTTCATCGAAGTCCGCTCGACGGCTCGCCGCTCTTCGCCACCGCTACCATCGCAATAGAGCAACTTCCTAACAATAGGCAGCACCACTGATACTTCGTCATGGTCTTCTGAGTGTGACCAAGCCTTCTGTACCCTTCGTCGTCTCCTCACTTCGCCACCAATACTGCGTCACTATGATCCTACGGCAGCAACTGAGGTCCACACCGACGCCAGTGGTGTCGGCCTCGGTGCGGTTCTCGCGCAACGCAAGCCTGGATTCGCCGAGTATGTCGTCACCTACGCCAACAGAACTCTCACCAAGGCTGAATCAAACTACAGCGCCACTGAGAAGGAATGCTTGGCGATCGTTTGGGCGCTTGTCAAGTTCCGCCCATACCTTTATGGCCGTGCTTTTGATGTAGTAACGGACCACCACACATTATGCTGGTTATCTTCACTTCAGGACCCATCGGGTCGTCTTGCCCGTTGGGCTCTTCGGCTTCAAGAATATGACATTCGCGTTCTATATCGTTCCGGCCACAAGCATACCGATGCTGATGCACTGTCACGATCTCCCCTATCCCCGGATATTGCATCTGTTTCCTCGGACAACACGTTGTCAGCTCTTGACGAGAGACACCATCTCTTCTGCACAACGCAATGACCCATGGATCGCTTCGCTTCTTGACGTGTTATCCGAGGCACCGACACTTCCAACCACTCGAACCCCCCGCCGCCAGGCTCCGCACTTCAGTATTCGGGATGGCCTTTTGTACCAGCGCAACTATTCAGCAGATGGCAGAAAATGGCTACTAGTCATTCCCCGAACGCTGCGCTCTACCATCTGCGCGTCGTTTCATTCCGACCCGCAATGTGCTCACGCCGGTGTTTTCAAGACTTACGAGCGCATACGAAAAAGGTATTACTGGCGCGGAATGTTTACCTTCGTCCGCCAGCTCATTCGCGGCTGCCAGGAATGTCAGCGGCGGAAAAGCCCGCCACATCCTGCAACAGGTTCATTGCAGCCACTTCCATGCCCAGACCGCCCATTCGACCGTGTAGGAACTGACCTCTACGGACCACTACCATTAACAACAGCAGGCAACTGATGGGCTATCGTGGCAGTGGATCATCTAACACGGTACGCTGAAACTGCTGCTCTCCCCACAGCTGCAGCACAAGACGTCACAACTTTCATACTCAATCGTTTTGTGCTTCGTCATGGTCCTCCTCGAGAACTCCTCAGTGACTGAGGGCGTGTTTTTCTCTCCGATGTAATACAAGCTCTTCTTCAACAGTGCCATATTGTTCACTGGAAGAGTACAGTCTACCACCCACAGACGAACGGCTTGACTGAGCGGTTTAATCGTACTCTGGGGGACATGCTCGCTACGCATGTCGCTTCTGATCAAACAAACTGGGACCTCGTTCTCCCATTTGTGACATACGCGTATAACACCGCTACGCAAATCACTACCGGGTTTTCCCCATTTTTTCTCCTGTACGGCCGCCAACCATCGCACACCATCGACACTTTACTGCCATACTCGCCAGATCCCTCCGAATGCAAGCCTGTCTCGGAAGCCGCTCGTTACGCAGAAGAGTGCCGCAAGCTAGCCAAGTGGCTTACTACATCCGACCAACAGCGGCAGAAGGAGACCCGTGACGACGACCATCGTTCTGCACCAACGTTCGTTCCTGGAGCACTTGTATGGCTTCATGTACCGCCCTGCGCCCCTGGTGTATCACCCAAGCTACTCTCTAATTATCATGGTCCCTACCGCGTGGTCCAGCGTACTTCACCCGTGAACTACGCCATTGAACCCCTCACGCCACCGAGTGACCGTCGTCGGCGTGGACGTGATATCGTTCATGTAAACCGTCTGAAGGCCTACTTTGACCCGCTTGTCCCCACGTGTTAGATTGCCAGGATGGCTTCAACTTTCTCGCCCGGGGTAATTGTAGTGAATAAGAAAGACGTTGATACCATCAGGTCAGCTATCATCAACACAAGAAAAAGGCACGAGATCGGCGATCAAGCACTGTTATCTGGGTCCGCCTGCGTTCCTTTAGAGCTACCACCCGCTTGCTCAGTCCTTCAATAAACCCCATTTACACACACACACACACACACACACACACACACACACACACACACACACACACACAAACATATATATATATATATATATATATATATATATATATATATATATATATATATATATATATATATATATATATATATATATATATATATATAGTCAAGTAGATACTCCGTTCCTCCGTGAGTGTTCACAACGTGGTTTATTTTGACGTTTCGGCCTAGAATCTGGCCTTCATCAGGATTCTATCCCGATGAAGGCCAGAATATATACATATATATATATATATATATATATATATATATATATATATATATATATATATATATATATATATATATATATATATATATATATATATATATGTATATATATATATATGTATATATATATATATATATATATATATATATATATACTACAATGGTAACAGATAAAACACTGCATTATTCTTGTATATTTTGATATGCCGCGCTTCACTCTAGTTTGTGCCATGCTCTGGCGTTCATTTAAACTTAATCATCAGCAGCTCCTCTGCAATTTTGTGGTCAGTACTGCACTAAATGCAAATCGCGATCCTTATATGCGTATAGGCCGAAAGGCCTACACAGTGCAATGTATTTTATTTTTCAATGTTATATTTCTGAGAATAATAAATAAGTTTTGTATGTTTAGGGATGGACACCGTATTAATATTTTCTAATCTTCCTCTGAACGGACACAAAGCTCAAGTGTGTGAAGCGACGGCAACACCACGCAGCGGCTCTGGCAGGAAGCTCAAGTAAATTGTGGATATGTGCCGCAGAGGGCGCATGGCGATTCAGTGGGTGGGTTTCACCACAGTCGCAGTATCAGAGCCCGTGCGGCACGCGTTCTAGACCAGGTGCGGGGATGGATGGATGGATGGATGGATGGATGGATGGATGGATGGATGGATGGATGGATGGATGGATGGATGGATGGATGGATGGATGGATGGATGGATGGACGGACGGACGGATGGACGGACGGACGGACGGACGGACGGAATGATGAATGGATCGAAGGATGGATGGATGGATGGATGGATGGATGGATGGATTTATGGATGGATGGATGGATGGATGGATACAACTTTATCTTTAAAAAATCAAGTTAAATGTGGTTGGTCTCGTAGATGTCCGGGAGCCCCGTGGCCGACATCTCTAGGCAGGCCCAGTCAACCAGCCACAACTGGTCGTCAGAGCCAGTGGCCCGACGAGCCGCCTCCCACGAGGTAAAGGACGGCTCTGTGCGTATTGCAGAAGTAAAGCGCCCAGATGGTACCCTCGCTACAGACCCGGTCGAGATCGAGGCGACCTTCTTGCACCACTGCGAGACAGCCTTTCACGAGCCGGACGCCACAATGATTGCCTCGGAGCCAGCGTCCCTGTCGGAGCTGTGTAAATTCCTTAAGCGTCTGGAAGAGGATGAAGGCCCGACTATGTGCGGCGCAGCGAGGTTACCAAAATTGAGGGCCGCTATCCAGTCAATGCCACCAAACTCGGCTCCTGGTGCGGACGGCCTCACAGCGGGCTTCTACGCCACCTTTTTCGAGAGCCTATGTGAACCGCTTCTAGCCATAGTCAACACGGTCCTCGAGGGACACGCGAAACCTGCCTCCTTCGGCATGGGGCGCGTATAGTCCTCATTCTTAAAGAAGGTGCACCGCCGAACGACCCTGCTTCTTGGCGCCCGATCACGTTGTTAAATGTAGACTACAAGATCGTGGCGTCAATCTTGAACAGCCGACCTTTCTGCCTGATATTATTGCTCCACACCAAGCTTGCGCAGTCCCGGGCAGATCAATGTTCACCAACCTGACCACGACAAGGGACGTGTTCCAGTACGCTTCGGAGAAAAGAGTCACTGGAGCCTTTTTTTCACTTGATCAGGCCAAGGCTTTCGATAGGGTCAGGCACACCTACCTGTTCGAAACCCTGCGAGAGTTTGGCCTACCGGCAAGCTTTGTACAAGTGATAAGGCTCCTGTACTCAGACCTCAGGTGCCACGTAGTAGTAAATGGCTCCACGACGGACACCTTTCAGTACACGAGAGGGATCAGGCAGGGGTGCCCGCTTGGCCCAACCCTCTTTGTACTCGCGATAGAGCCGCTACTTACATCCCTGGCAAGCGACGTGCACATCCGGGGCCTTCCTCTCACAGGAACTGCGGACCTGAAAGCCCTCGCATACGCTGACGATATCTCCCTTTTTGTGCGAGATCCAAGCAGTCTCGAGCGCTTTCACCAGGTATTCGCGTCATACGCCCTAGCATAAGGTGCACAGCTAAATGAAAGGAAGTGTAAAGCCCTCCTATTCGGCCATTTCCCGGCGCACGTGATCGGCAACTTCGAGGTAGTCACCGCTGTTAAGGTCCTCGGTATATACTTTTCCAGCGAGGGAGTTACGGCCTCAACGTGGTCCCGAGTCGTGGATAGGGCTGCACAAGTGTCAGAGAGCGCTAGCCTACAAGGCCTGACGCTATGCGAGAAAGCCGTAGCCGTCAAAACAAGCATTTGCGCCCTAGCCTCGCATGCGAGCCGAGTAGCGGTGATGCCCACAAGAACAGCAAGCCAGTTGACCAAACTCATTAACGCATACCTCTGGGATGGGAAACCGCCACCATTGAAGCAAAACTTGCTACAACTGGCAGTGTCAGAAGGGGGTCTCGGCCTACCACATGTGTTGACCACGAGCAGAGTCCTGGCCCTGAAAACCGCCCGCATGCTCGCGCGCGCGAGCGATTACCTAGGGCGCAACCTACTCCTCTACTGGAGTGGAGTGAAGCACGACTGGCTGGATGCAGGCCGCCACACCGGGCCCTTTGCTGAGGTACCCGCGCACTCCTATAAAACGGCGTCGTCTACCTGGCGCATGTTGAGGCAAGAAGTGCCCGAAGGCGATGTGGATCAGGACCAGCCAGTGCGCATCGTTGAAGCCATCACGCGGAAGCAGCTGAGCGACACTGAACAAAAACGAGCTGAGCGCGCGAGGCGCGAATTACTCTCGCTCCGTTGCGGCACCCCCGTGATGCACAGGATTTCCTCCTGAAAAAGGCCTGGGCCTTCCTCCCCACCAGACAACGCCTGCATAAATTTGGAATAGTCCCGGATGCACGTTGCCCGAATTGTCACGCAGTTGAATTGCAGGATCACGCGTTGTTCCAATGCGTGGCGGTGAAACCCGTGTGGCGGATGGTAGCCCACTCCTTTGGTATCCGCCCACCTCCCCACCACAAGCGCAAAGGTGCCTTCTGCCAACTTGTGCTGATCTTCACGATGCTAGCTATTTGGCAAAGGAGATCGCTAGCGGAGGCGCGTAGAAAGCCTGTGCGGAGCGTGTTTCCGGTAGTCTCGCGTATCCGGCGGTTGCTATGGGCCCACCTATCCGGCGAACTCGAGGCCAGCGGCGAGGAAAACTTCCTTCGTCGCTGGCATACCAAATTCTTTTTTCTGAGGAATGGCAAGCTAGCCGCCCCAATCACTACCTGGTGGACCCCCCTCCCGCTGTCTAGCACATGCAGAAGGGGACTTGTATATATATATATATATATATATATATATATATATATATATATATATATATATATATATATATATATATATATATATATATATATATATATATATATATATATATATATATATATATATATATATATATATATATGTATATCTGTATCACCTTTTTCATTTCATCACCCCATTGTCGTTGTTATTTGTAATCGATTCGGGCAAAGTGTGCTGGTCGACACTTGAGTTAATTTTTGTATAGCGCCTTCTTCATTGATTGGCGCCTTCAGTCAGTTTTTTACGCGCAGATTGTTGCTGATGCCTTATTTGGGGGGAGACAAGAGCGCCCCCCCCGCTCCCTTGTACCCCCCCCTGCGCCCCCCAGCCTCAAGGCCTCTTTTATACTTCCGGGCATGCACTTACCGTGTACGAAAGCAGCATTGTTTCAGGCGACAAAAAAGAAATAATACCTAGAGTTGTACAGCGCTAAGACGCTACTTGTTCCAACCGCGTGTGGAGAAGACCTACCGCCGCGCATGATTAAGCCTGCTGGAGCACCACGCGCTGTACAGTAAATAGAGGGGTACATTCCCCCACATACATTGTACCTCGGTAGTGGTGCTTTCCTGATTGTACATGCACCCTTTGTAGTCGTGAAGCTCGATGGTTTTGTCATGTACTTTATCCTTGGTTGGAAGTCAATAAACTTCTCTTTGTTGCTATCTGGGCCAGGCTGCTTCTGTAATCGGACTTTCCGTTTACCGGGCACACGTTCACCCAAATAAACAGGTAAATCCCAACATAAAGTTTCCTGTCTTCGGCCACGTCACGACCCCGTGACAATATTGCATAGAGTTAATATTTTTTCATGAGCACGTCTTACCTAAACTAGTTCTAAATAGACTGCAAAACGACGATGAAGCTAAGCAGACGCACCGTCACGCTGCGGTCACTTGACTTCACACTGAACCAGAGGTGCGTTGGGTGCAGACCACTTGAACATACGCACCTAGCATCGCAGAATACAAGACATTAAGTGTTTCTCACTTAATACTGAGCTGCTATTTCCATAAATAGATAATTCGTACCTTCGAGAGAAAAACAAGCCTGTTTCTTTTCAAGCGTTGTAAAAAATAATTAAATCTTGATGCCAAATTTGGAACGCAATGGCAGAGCAATGAATACCTTGAAAGTTAAATATGCCCAAGTTTCACTTTCGCCGCCTCGTCACAAACACCTTTTTGCAATAAACTTTGCATACAAACAAATAAAGCAAGTTTCAAATAAATACATGTTTATATCACTTTGTTTTACAGTCGGAAAAGGGCGTGAGGTGTCGAGGTGTCGCGAGCACGTGAGGAAAACGAAGTTATCCCCCAACTTGACAGCGATCGACGAACAGCTCCTCTCGTTCGTGAGCTGCATGGCAAACGCTAATCGCGTCGTGTGAAGTTTGCAAGCGTGTCATGGCCGAAATGTCTCGGGAAACGAAGTCCTCGGATCTCGCCGAACTTCGACGCAGCTCAGGCGATGACTACAGTGACAGCGAGTTCGAAGAAGCAAGCGATGGTGACTGCTACGGCAGCTCAAACGATGACAGGTAAGCTCGGTTGTTGGCCATTGCTCTTCGATTTTCCACTTCTGGCTAACCGCGGGCTGCCAGAGCCAGCCAGAGCGGACTTGTTTTTCTCGGGTTGCTCCGACTCCGATCGACCGCCAGACAGTGGCACATACCCACTGGCGGGTATGTGCCACAGGTGATTGACACTTGGTATCTACCCCGGAACGACAAAACGCACATGGGCAATTTTAACGCGAGATGCTTCAAGAAATACCTGACATCGGATGCGTCGACCCGACGAATGCAAAAAATAAATGTTCCAGTCGGAATCGAAGCCAAGCATTCTGCGTGGCAATGAAGCATTCTAATACAAAGCTACGCCAGGTCTTGGAACTGACTTTTCAAATAGACGCTAATCTTGGTGAAACAGCAATAGGCACCATTAAGTCGAGTTTTCAGTCTGTCTGCAACGCCAGAATACACAGCCCTAGCGGATAAAAAAAGCAACCTTGAGTCGGCCTCAATGAGAATGGAACGCGACTGCACGCTTTTCGCAGCCCTGTATTGTCGGGTAATTGCTGGCCGGGGTCTATTTTCTGCGTCCCCCAGCCCTCACTGGGGCTACCACTACGAGAAGGCCCGGGGCAGAGAGCTCAAGCAGCTCGTTTCCTCGCTGGGCCTCACGCTTCTTACCGATCCGGCTCAACCCACACGTTCCGGCAACTCGGTCACGCGAGACACATGCCCCGACCTCTCCCTCACCCGTCACTTCCGCGATGCTACATGGGAAAATTTAGGCGAAACCCTAGGCAGCGATCACTTTTTACTCCGCATTTCGTTCACACCGCGGCAGAAAATGCGCCAACACTGGGGCCAAGCCCATCTCACCGATTGGACTCAGTTCAGAATGCAACCATTCCCCGCCGTCCTCTCCTCGACCGAATATGCATCGTGGGCATCATACGCTCTCTATATGAAACAAGCGAACACTCGCTCCCTTGCAACTTCTAATTTGACTCCTGCAATCGATCCACACCTCGTACATCGTTGACACGCTCGCCGCGGGCTCGTAAGGCGCTGGAAACGCAACAAACTTAATCGGAAACTTCGCGCTCGCATTGAGGCGCTCACTGCAGAGGCGGCCGCATACTCTGCACAGCTTTCCGATGCTAACTAGGCAGACACCTGTTCGAAGGCTGCAAACCAGATGAGCTCTAAGAGTGCGTGGCGACTCTTTAGAAGCCTTCTCGATCCCTCCACCACCAGGGGAGAAACGCAACGCCAGCTCCACCGTGTTCTGCATGCCTTTCAGGCACTACGGATGAACTCGCGCGAGAACTTTGTGACCGCTACATCTGCCGCACAATTAATCCCGCAGGCCCAGCATATACGTATTCCGGCGCCCCTAACACCGACCTCGACGCCCATACACGCTTTCCAATTTACGATTTGCACTCACGAAAATGCCACGGGGCACGGCCCCTGGACGCGACGGAATCACAGTATCGCTCCTGGCAAATCTTCCCGACCAAGCACACCTTTCGCTACTCCACCTTATAAATTCGATATGGGACGGCTCTCCGCTTCCAGCGGAATGGACCACATTGGTCGTGACATTCATACCCAAATCGACAAAGTCCGTTAGTATCGAGGCATTGAGACCCATCTTACTTACGTCTTGCGTAGGCAAACTCATGAAAACCATGGTTCGCGAACGCCTTTCCGCCTACTTGGAGGCCAGGAGGACCTTTGCCGACACGATTTTTGGCTTTCGCCCGCATCTGTCGGCGCAGGACGTCCTGCTCCAGCTTCAACACGATATCATAGAGCCGACTACTATGCGCCATAACGATAAAGCCGTGCTCGCTCTCGATCTCCGCGGGGCGTTCGACAACGTCAAACACAGCACTATACTCACTAACCTGTCTACCACAAACTGCGGGCAGAAGACTTTCAACTACATTCGTGCCTTTATATCACATCGCACCGCCTTCATTCGCCTTAATTCTACCGAACACGGCCCGTACTTATTAGGCACGCGGGGTACACCTCAAGGGGCAGTCCTGTCTCCTCTGCTTTTTAACCTGGCGATGATGAACCTCCCCTCTCTTCTAAGCGAGGTCGAGGGAATACAACACGCACTATATGCGGACGATATCACAATCTGGACCAACACCGGCTCCTTAGCGCAAATCGAAGAACGC